GATTTAGAAGCCTTTTCCATCTCCAGAACTTAGCAGCCTAATTTAACATTGCAATTCCTGCTGGGATTGTTGTGTGCAACCTGAAACAAGATACAGGGGATACAAACACCTCCAGGTTACCTACCAGGAGATGCAATGCCAAACCTACCCAAAGCAGGTTTACTTGGGCTGTCTCCAGTTCAAAAGCAGCCAGTCCATGGCATCGGAAGCTTCTGTCCAGTCCTTGGACTCCTGCTTGGTGTCTCAGGTACTTCACCTGCACTTGCCACTGGTACCCTCACCTGCTCCTCAACACCAGCACTGATAAACCTGAATTAAGAGATGTCCCAGTATAAAAATTCCTCAGAGACAAGTTTGGCAGCTCAGTAACCTGCTAATGCTATGAGCAACTTTCTGAGGGGTGCAATAGGAAAACAAAGACAATAATTGGTTTATCCTTACAGCAAGTTAGAGAGATTGAAATGAAACATCGGGGCCGTCCTGGCCCTCCTTGCGAGCCGTGTCAAAGCTGCCAGTGGAAGTGTTTGTTTGAACTCAGAGATGTGGTTGTGGCAGCCCCAGCGCTGCTCCCGAGGCACAGTCAGGATCTGCGTTCTCAGAAACGCCACCACCGAGCCACAGCTCGGCTCCAGCGCTGGAGGAAGTGGGGGAAGGTGCAGATAAGGGCAACTGTTGCCCTCGGAGTGAGGCAGGTGAAACATCAACACACAGAAAGAGAACAGGCTCCAATCTGCCATCTGAGCCACGTCACCCTCCCTAGGCTGGAGGCACTCCTGGAGCCGGGAACATGCCTGCACACACGTGCACTCAGCCATGGCAACGCCCCAGCACAGCCTGTGCCACAGAAACTGGGTTACAGAATTACCCAGCTGAGCTCTTTATTCCCGTTTACCAATTTTTATTCAGCAAAAGTCATGCATTTTAGAGAATCTATACAATATTATTAATTAGCTTAATTAAGCTTTTTTAACTAAAAAAAAAAAAAGAACAATCCAGAAGACAATTAATTACAGCTAAATGTAGCTTCTTGCAGTTGGTGAGCTCTTTTTATAGCACTGTATATACTGTATCCATCTCTGGCAGCAACCACAAAACAGGGAACAGAGGAGTTGAAAGCCTCAGGATTGTGCATGCGTAATTAGATGAGACACTTCCTTCACGAGGATAATGTGAAACAGAAGTAACAAAGCAAAACAAGAACAATCTCCTTTGTGCTGCACACAGATTACATCACAATCCATATGAATTCCTTGCACATTATTCCTTTTGTGTCCCGCACTGATGAAGCATTTTTCCTTTTCAAAAAAGGTTCTGGACAGTTTCACAAAGGGTTAAAGCTTAAAAAGGGAGGGAGAAAAAAAATCCTTGTTGAAGAATGAAGCCGTGCAAATGAAACTGAAAGCCCCGGCACATGCACGTGGCCACAACAGCTAAAAAATAACTCATCACCCGGATAAAAACTTGAAACCCACAGTTTGAGACATTTTAACAAATGTGTTCAATGTTTCTACTCAGCTGAAAGAAAATCAGCTGCAACATGCACACTGAAAGCAAACAGTGAATTTTGGTGATTTAAGGATACTGAAAGAAAAGACAGATGTTCCCGGAATACTACGGCATTCTACAATTCCTTTTGAAGTTTAAAAAAAGCAAAAAGAAAAACTCCGAAGGAAAAAATAGCCCTGTTTCTTTTCAAGTGCTGCTGGAAATAGCGTGCAGCACAGGAACGAAAGCCGCTCGGACGCAGCAGCGCAGCCCCCGCCGGAGCGCGGCGGAAGCGGCGGGGGAGCCGCGGGCGGGGGAGCCAATGGCGGCGCGGCCGGCGCAGGGCGGCCTTTGAACCCGCGGCCGCTTCCCGCGGCGCCCGAGCGTGCGGCACAAAGAACAGCCATTTTGTGACAGCGCCGGCCGCGCTGCCCGCCCGCCCGGCCCCGACACTGCCCCGGCCACACCGGGCCGGCCCCTGCTCCCAGCGCCACGCACCGGGGGCGGTTTGTGCTGAACGCCAGCGGTTCCCTCCTGTCCACCCCCTCCGCCAAACGCCGGTTCGTGTGCACCGACATCTCCATAAAATGGCTGCCACGTCAGGCGAGGGTGTTGTGCTGCGCAAAGCCCTGCGCTGGGAGGTGGCTGCTGAGTAAAAACACGCCATTTCAGACCTCGGAGTTCCAGGTCTGCACAGAAAATGGCCTTGGAGCTAATCCATCGCAATCTATTTTTTCCCCAGAAAAAGACGTTTTAACGCTAGAGAAGCCCAGAGCTGGAAAGGGCTGGCCCAGCCTTGCAGGGGCTGCAGCTCAGTTCCACCGCCGGGTATTTCTGAGGTGGGAGAGCAACTGTAACAGACACAGCCAAGGGAAAGGAAAACTCCGTATCCCACGCCTGTTACTCGCTATCCCTGCAAAACTCACTCCTGGGCTACAGGGGGGCCCAGCCTGCCTCTGGCCTCTGCGCTTCCCATGGGGGCCGACCATGGACGATGTGCCTCCACACCACCTGCCTTTCAGACATGCAGCACAGAAGATGCTAGAAAATACAGCGGATTGTGTTCAATCACTTATGCAAATCCCAGGCACACAGGCGGGGGTCAGTAGGAACCGCAGCAGACCCAGAGCAACTTTTACCTTAGGCAAAGTTGCATGAAATCACTCAGCTCCAAGTTCAATTTACTGTCAAAGCACAAAGGACAGGTGCTGCTGGGCATCTGGAAAGGCAGGAGTACAACCCTCAGCTTACAAACTGCAAAGAGTTAACATAATCTCTCTCCCCAAAAATAAATCATCTGCTTTGGGACAATTCTCAGTCATTTTTGTTTATTCCACACAGGCCTTTGTATTTCCTTAGAACTGGAAAAGGAGTCAATTCCTCAGGGCACTACAGTGGTGTGCAAGAATTGTATTTTCTTCATTCTAACACCCTTCTCCAGCCCAGGTGAATGGCACCAGCCATATCCACCTCCTGCACAACCCAGGCTTCCCACCAGGACTGTGCAACTTCATGTTCAGGTACTTCCACGGAAGCCCAGCTGATCTCAGCAGCATGTGAAGTGCAGACACCGGTGCATTTTGGGGTGGCTTTACTTCCTAGAAATCATTTCCCCTACTTCAGGTCAACCTCAGGAAGTAAAGCCCATTTGATGACATTGAGCTGACTCACACCTCACAAATAAGCCCAACAGGGTTCACTTGCAAATATCCTGTGCTCAATTGTTCCCACACTTCAGGTGTGTTGGTGTCACACACAGCAGGTTTATTTAAGAGAAAAAAAGTATGTGAAGGGGAAGAAGGGTAACCTCACACAACAGGTGTTAAATGCAAATGGATCAATGACAATAAATAACCTTTCAATGAAAACCCCAAAAGCACAGGAGACACTTATGCAAATCTCATACACCTTAGGACAAAACCCCCTGTGGGACTCCTGCTACATGGCTCAGATTTTAGCTCCTATTCCTTTCCAACACTGGTAAAATATTTTCAATATCCTCAATAAATTCTTTCTATTGATGCTCTTGTTGATAATCTCCACTTCAAAAAGCATAACAATTTATAGAATCTGAAAAATAATTTTTATAAATGGTGATTTTTTACATAATATTTTGTGCGCAGCATTTACAGTAAAGAAAGCACAGTATGAAAATCTGATGCTTTTTTAAACTGCATTATTAGAAAAGCTGTTGATGTGCTTCAACAATCCCTGAGGCTAAATTAGTTATTAATAATTTCAAATTAAACAATGTTACCCATATTTATTTTAGAATTTAAAATTTGATTTCATTTTTAATACACCCAAAAGACCATCCAAGTTGATACTAAAAGGTTACAGTTACTTGACAATATATATATTGCCACACTATTTCAAGTTCATGTGCTTAAGGAAGGTTAATACTGGACATCAAGAATACTATTCAAACACCTGAACATCACATAGAGCACATGTGATACAACAGACAGTTCAGAGTTCTTTTTTATTAATGTCGGTTAAAAATGCAGGAAGACAACACCAGAGAAAAAGAAACAGACCAAGAATCAACTGAAATTAACAAAATTCATAACTCAGTAATATTTACAAACTAAAACCCAAAAATGCATATAGTTTAATTCCCAATTTTTGGAAGAGCCGACCTTTTAAATACAAAATGAGCCATTTGGTAATTGTACTTCTGCATTCCCAGCAAACAAACATTTTCAGTGTTTCATACTTTCCCCACATCAAGGTTAAATTTTTAAAAATCTGTAAACAATCTCATTACTTGACAAAAATAAATAAAAATACCCTGAGAAAAATATGTTAAACAAAGCAAGCAAATCATTTGGTGTCTCTTGTTAACAGTCCCAGTGTATATTTTATGATACAAAATGCCATCACCAGCAGGAGAAAGTCAGGTTAAATTGTATAAAAATATTCTAAAATACCTCCACAGAATCAAAGTTTACAAGCTCAAATAAAATTTGAAGTAAGAGGTATCCGACAAACAGGCACTTTCCAGTTTATATTTTAAAATAAGCTTTTTTTCATTCATGTAACTTTTTCTTGTGCCTATTTACTATAATTTACTACTACACCAGGCTTCTGTATGGCCCTCAGTTAAAGTTTAGACTTCTGAGATTCTTCAAAGAAAAATCTGCCTTGTATGTAAAATGGTGCAATGCAGCAATGGCTAAACCGACAAGGTCATTTTTCACAGCACAAAAAACCTGAAAACTGAAATTCAAAAGCTGGAAAAACATCATACAGGGGCAAGGGCTGCCCTGAATAAAGGTACAGTACCTTTTGCCTAGGACATGGGCCCTTAAGTCACAACACAAGTTTCAGAAATTGCTACCAAAAAAAAATTAGGGTGTGGCATGCTAACAATCTCAAGGTCATTTCTTAAAAAGGAAGCAAAATCAGTAAAATGTTTTCTATTAAGCACTGACAATAACCCAAGGCTGTCAAAGTAAACAGGGTATTCACAGGTTTTACAAAAAAAAAAAAAAAAGAAAGTTGATAGGTCATACCTCGATGCATTGCTGTGGACTGAACCCTCCTCTCCTTGGCTTTTGTCCTTATTTCTCATCATCTTTTTATTCTTAAATATTAAAAGGGGGTCAGGGGTGTCTGTTTGCTTTGAAGTCCTGTGCCCAGGTATTTACTGTCAAAAGTTGAAAGAAAGGTAAGGTCCCAGTTCGTTTCACTGGCTTTCATTATCAGGAACAAAGTCCTGACGCTGCAATGATATTGTTATAACAATACACAGCACTGATCAACACGGCAAACCGGAGATTTAAAACAAATAATCATTTTTACAAGAAAAATCCGAGAATAAACACAGGAGAGGAGCATCCTGCAAACTTTCCCAAAGTAACACTGGATGCAAATAATCTCTGTATCTTATTGCGTCATCCCAATACAGCACAAATCGGTCGAAAATCAAAGTATTCAAAACGGCAGAAATCTAAAAATTATTATTATTAATTGCTCACCTACCTGATCCATGCACCGCCGCCAGGACCAAGTCGATATTAGTTTCGGGTAGTGGAAAAACATTAGATCCAAAATATTTGTAATTATACCGATAAAATACAAATTTCAGAAAATGAAAAAAAAATATATATTCTAATCCCAAAAATATGCTGCCGATAAAGCAAAAGAAGCGGTAATTAGTACAAAAATGTCCGGGGGAAAAAGCTCATTAGGAGAGCGCACAAAAATGGAGGTACGCCATGGCTTCTAAGCTGGAAAAACAACGACCTGGGCTCTCTCCACGGCTTCTTCTTTCCAGCAAGGCACGAAAAGGGAGCCCTCAAAAGCTGCTTTTCTGCCCGAAAAAGGTCCGCTCGGCCCCCGATTAGTGCCTAGGAGAGGCAAGGGGCTGTGGGGGCCCCCTGAGGCTGCCTGAAAGTTAGGGAAAGTTGCGTAAAGTGTTGGGGAAGGCACGGAGCTGAGCGCGCTCTCTCTAAGGCACAGCCGCCATCTAGAGCTCCTTCCCAGCTCTGAGCTCTGCCTTTGATTGACACTCTCTACATTTACCCCACAACTCAGGTGATGTACCATAGACCCACCCCTTCATTTCTACCAAAAAAAGAGAGAGCCTCCACCTAAAGGGTGCTTGCTACCCCACAGCCCTGGCTCCTTCCAACTACCCCAGCTCAAGGGGCACCTTAACCCCATGTGGCTCAGGCACCCTTTGGAAGCCAGAAAGAAATGGAATTTGTGCCTTTTGTTTTAAAGATTTGCTAAATATTTCAGTGCCTGGGCTAAAATTACTTCCTCCCTGGACAGGAAGTGGTGCTGTTACAAGCCATTTTGAAGGCATGGAAGTGGAGCTCACAGCCATGCAGGCAGCAGCTGCCCACCCTGGGGTCACCCCACCCAAGGGGCAGCTTCCCCCCAGTTTGGTGGCAGAACCCCCAGACAGCAGCTGTTCCCTCTGCCCCCCAGAGCTGGCACAGGCAGGGGGGCAGGAGCATCACCCGCTCCCAAGCCAGCCCGCAGAGCTGAGACTGCCCTCCAGCTCCACAGCGCCTCCCTAGTGGTTCCCCAGCAGATCAATCCAGCAGCCACACCACTGCCACCAGCTACCCAAGGCACTGCGGCCAAGCCAGCCCAACACCACCAAACTGCTTATGGCTAATGCTCTTGCTTAACCCATTCATGGGCATTAACAGATTTTAACACAACTAATTAATTTTAAAGCTGCACAATAACCAAGCTGCAGAACTGCAAATTAATCAATGGACATCTCCAACACAACATCCTGGAATTGAGAGGATGTATCACCAAGGGAACACAGGCGATCCATGAATACCCTGACCACTTAATTCTGACTACCAGTTGTCTTCCACGACCAAAACCGACCCCTTAAAGCACAAGAACATCCTGCATATTCATAAGCATCACAACAAGACAGAGCCATCAGCCACTGGGGGACCACTGGAGGACAAAGGGGCAATGGGCTAGTTTGGGGTTCTATTGGAACACCCACGACACAGCATCCCAACAGCCCAAAACCATTGGCTTTGACCAGTAGAACCAACACCATTCCCTTTAATTCCTCCACAGACCTGCCATTTATCTCCTACAACATCTATTCTCTTTCCACAAGGGGTTTCATGAGGAACTATCCAATGCCACGAGCCATTAAAAAAATTCCACTTTGACCAATTATTCACAGAAGACTCCTTGCACCTTGACTGCAAGAATTAAAAAGCCACAATGCAAGACCATTCCAAGCATTTTTGATAATACTAAGGAAATCCACTCATTTGAATGAGAAATCTTCCACACTGGTCCCAGAATCCAACTCCACCATAAAAACACACATGGCAAAACCAAACTGGGGCAAGCGTGTCCCACCAAAATGGCTGGATGGAAAAGGCATGAGCAACTCATCATGGCAAAAATGGGTATTTCCAAAAAAGTCTGAGCAAGGCAAATGGTTAAACAATGAACTGGATTTTGTTTGAGTTTTCAAATATAATTTCAAGGTTATCTCAACACCAGGTTTATCATCTTGACCCTCCAGCACAAAACAAAGACAACTTTGAGTTTCAGGTGAAACATAGAGAGAAGAAATGCCTATACAGTTAAACTATTAGATCCACTAGAGACCTGTATGGAAATCATTACTTCAAATATTAGAACCATTTCAGAATTCATTTGCAAAGGTTAATGTGTCATCTGTAGCTGTATCAAAAAGAACTCATTTTTTTCTCACCAAACACATGGCACAGTATTGTGACACAAAGGCTACATGCAAGAGCAGTGAAGCAGATTGGACACTTGCACAGAACAATTTTAAGACCAAAGAGACTGTTCAGGAAGTCTGTAGTCCAGGAAATCTGTTGAAAAGTTTCTATACCCACAACCCAAGAACATGTCTAAAAAAGTTGCACAAAACATTCAAGTACTCCTTTATTGTTGTATTTTCTCAGCCTTCAATTGGTATCAATTCCATCTTAAAATAACTTCACAAAGTTCAGCAGCAGTGCCCTGACAATAGGCCAAGTACTGAGAACCCCTCATACTATTAAGCACCTGAATGAACAAGCCAGCGAATAAAAATTCATTGGAAGTCATGGCAAAGTGAACATAATTTGCAAATGAAAACCACATTTGATACCAAGTATAGCACAAAATTTTACCTTGCCTCCAGTACTTAGCTAAAGTATTTCTCAGTTTAATAGCAACCAAAAATGTAACCCACTTCAGTACCAACTCAATAAAAAATATTCAGCCAGAAAGGACAAACACAAAGTGTGAAATAAACCAAAACCTTTTATTTAAAGTCACTTTATAAATTACATTTTCTCAAAAGCAGTAGCAACAGATCTTTTACCAAATTAATTTTCCTGTCATGCAAAAACAACCCAAAAGGAAAATTTGGCTACCCAGTCCTCAAACAGATCCATCACTGGATAGCCACTGATTAATTCAAATGCAAAGTCCATTTTGACAGGATGATCACAACCCAGATCTTCTCTGGTTTAATAACATGAGAGTCCACGTTTTAACATCCTTTTCTTGGACAGACATCCCAGCACTCATGCATTAGTCCATTTCCTCAACCTCTCATTCCCCAGTGGAACTGCCATCTTGGTGTCTCATTCGTAGACTCCTTTTGACACTCTTCATCTGAATGGATTCTTTATGAAAAATTAGAAGAAAAATGCTGTTGGAATACACATCATTGCTTTAAACTAAGACATTCAACTACTGTACCTTGAAGATAATTTAAACATGTAACTGATGCCTCATTCCATGTTACACAATCCACAATATCTAATTTTATCAGAAACAGTATCAAATAATCAATTCAAGAATCAAAAAAAGAAAGTTTAACCAAAATGATTAAAAAATGAGAGAAAATATCAGAAGTCCAAGAAGCCTTTCAGGATCCCTTAATTCAATTTGAAATTTTTAAACCACTAGAGAAATCTGTGGTGGGAACTCAAAGAAATTTGCTCTTGCAACCATTTGTGTTGCACTGGCCCTTCCCCTGAAGCTGACATTGCTTAGTAGAACACCAAGGTTCTTGTAACAACCCAAAACTTGTAAGTACTTTTCAAGCTCCTTTCTTCGAAGACACAGATCCATCAAAACCAATGAAATCTGGTTTCTTACAGACAGATGGTGACTGGACACAAGACATTCCACCATCTTAATGCAGTTTTCCAGCTCATGAAAGATGTACAGTGCAACAGCAAACACACAAGCAAATGGAACGACTGGTTTGGTTCCTGGTGGGAAAGGACACACCAGAAACCAGACAAAAATGGTCACAAGTCACACTAAGCTACCTTTAGCAAGGCTCCTGAGCCATATTCCAACTGTACTCATCATGGAACTGCAACCAAGCCCATAGGTGAGTGATACACCAAACTGAATAATCAGCATCCACGTGGATAAATACAAACCCAATGTTCCCATCTTCCTATCTTCTTCCAAGAAATATAAGCTCAATTCACTTCAAGTAAAACCTGACTCCTCCTCACATGCAAAACTTAGGTACAGGAAGTTACTAAGTGTTAAGAGCATCATTTTGAAACCAATGCTGACTGTAGGCTGACATGCAAAAAGGGTTTTAAAATGTCTTCATGATTTTGAGTATCTGCACTCCAACATCAATTTAGTTTTTTGAATATGTATAGGTTTAACCTCATTTTAGTCTGAAAGCCAAGTTCACCACCACTCTGCTCCCTGATGATCCCGGGCAGATTCTGACCAGGGATGCAGAAATTACCCACAGCCCAGCAAAAACCAGTGGGGCCATCTAGTGGTCTCTGCCTCAGCATCCCCAGTCCCATCTCACAATAACCAGTGACAGCAAAGCAAAGAGCACTGGAAGCAGAGCAACAAGCCCCAGTCTGACTTTCACCAATACCCATGTGTCCTGTTCTATGCTGTTCTATAGACTTCCTTGTTTTAAATACAATGGGAAAGTAGTGCACATGAAAGTGGAATATGGGATCTGGAAATTTCACTTTGCACTGGGAAACATGCATAGCTGCAGGAGTATTCAACCCCAGGATATTCATGCTTTCAGAAACAGAACTTTCAAGTTTAAAGAAATGCTCTGTTTTAAACATTCAACTCATCCTCAGTTAAGACAATGTATGAAATATTTTGAAATGTGTTTTTCCCTCACACTAAGCTAGTTTCGGGATGCTTTGGGTTGGGTTTGGTTATTTTTTTTTTCAATTCTCACTAAATTATTTTCAAATCTATTTCAGAATTTGAAGATGAATTAAAATTTTGTATGTTTTTTAATGGTAATGCTTTGACAGAAGTATCAAAATAAAAAATCACCAAAAAGTTGTCCATTATTGACACAATCAAACACTCAGAAGTACTAACATACATACACAGTGCAAACCCCATAAATAAGACCATTAAAATTATTTTTAGTTCTTTTTAATAAACTTAACATATAGAACTCCAATTACTGACATCAACTTTCCCCATCTCTAAAAAAGGTAATTTAGTTATGTAATAGTCACCCTTAAAAGGCTCTTTCCAGTTGGGTTAGACCTCTGCCTCACTCATAGGACCTGCCAAAACCAATTTCAGGGCAAATTTCCCTGCTCAGTTCACCTACGTTGGGTTGGACCAAGAACTTCACAAGTAACCCCATGACCTTCATCTTAAACGCTGCTTTAAATCTTGTAAAATAATTAACAGTAAACAGAACTGATGAGGTATTATAATTAAGAACACATTCTTGTTCTCCAAGTTATTATACATCAAAAGAATGCCATAAGAATGGCCAAAATATTAATAGCAGCCTCTACACTTTTGAAATTTACATTTGCTTTAGAAGATTTCCCAGCATTTGTTTATTTATGAATTAAGGCACATTTTGCTAAGAAATTTCAATAATGTTACAAAAATACAGTCCTCCATGAAGACATATGCAGTGATCCTACACTTGAGGTAGATACTGAAAAACCCTTTTTTCTCCTAGGTGACACGAGTTTAACATTCCTTCTGTAAAATGAATTAGGCATCCACCCGTTTTTCAAGCTTCTGTTATCTACTAGTTACTTTGGTTTGGTTTCCAAGCTCTGTTATTTTGGTCATGATAAATCAGGGACCGGGGTAGTTCTGTAATCCTGACAAAGTTTCCTTCAAACCACTGGTAACATGCTGACACTCCATGCCATCCATTCCCAACCTGCCTAAAGGTTCAAGGCAACAATTACAAAATATCTGAGTTTACAAAGTTTTTATCTTCAGCTTTTTTGCAATTATTTGTTGCTGTATTAAAAGATCACAGCAACAGTAGACATCCCTTATGGCCAAACCCATGGCTTCAGCCATTTCAGCTCCATTGTAACCCTGCATTCGTTACAGTGTGAGACTGAAGCCAAACACATATAATACCCATGCATAAGACACCAATACATTTACAAACTATTCCAGAATGGAATCTGAGGTTTAAACTCCTAACTGAGGTGACCTATTTGGGAAAGGGAATTCACTCCAACAGAGGGAGCTGAATGGACAAAATGAGGTTCTGAGTAAACCAAACCTCAATTTCTACACTTCAAAGTTCATTAAAGAAAGGCTTTATTCTCAACAACATCCCTGGTAACTTTTACACCGGAGGAAAGAAGCGCCCTTTGTTGGCAGCTAAATCCATTATTTTATTCTGTACCATCTTTAGCAGGAACTAAGCACTCTGGACAGCCCTAAATCTGCTTTTACCACCATTAGATGTTCCTTAAGCAGAGCAGTAAAAGCACAACTCATGTAGATTTGGGTATTTTTAGGTAAGAAAGGCTATTTGCCAGGTTTGTCAGATTTCAAGGTTAATTCCAGATAAGATGTCATTTTAGTCACAAATGCACTCTTTTGTGGGTATTATTTTTAAATAATAGATTTTATTAAGCAAAATATGCCAACTTTAATAAAGCTCCTGGTGTTTTTGAGTATTTTCTCTCTTCTCTTAAAAAAGAGAGCTAAAAATAAAACTCCTAAAAATAAAACTCAGCACTTCAACTAACCACCATGTTAATCAGAGAATACAACACCGGATCTTTCAAGATCCACACGCTGGAATGCTTTCACAACTGTTCTTTGAAATAACTTCTTTTGTAGACAACTATTTTAACTAAGTCATTTAAGGGTATCACATTCACCTCTTCCTTTAGGTAAGGATCATAAATCAGAAAAGAATGGTAATTACTCAGAATGTAACTGAAAAGTCAAAGTTCTATTCAAAGAGCCAGATCTTACAATAGCTAATTTACAACCCAATGAAAAAACAAAAATGCACACAGAAAGATGTAGCAATCACACAAAGATTAATATTAAAATGGAACATGAGTCACATGTTTAGAGATTCTATCAGGTGACTGGGGCTAGGAAGGCATCAGTGGATAGCATAGGAAGAGATTTGAGGAATAGCTGGAGAAGAAACATATCAAAAAATATACTGCTCGACACACACCTGCAGTGGGAAAAACAGCTTAAGATTTCTGAAAGAATGAAGTAATAAAACTTACAGACCACAGTGGTAGAAGAAATTAATTACTTATCAAAACTGAATTTGTGTACACACATTAAAAACTTAATTCCTCAAAGTCCATGAACTCTTTTGCTTCATCTTTTTCTACTTCTTTTGCTTCAGGACTGAAAACCCAAGTGATGAAATTAAAATTGTTCCAAAATTAAATGGACCCAGAAGCAGCAGGAAGCCAGACTAAGCCTGGCAAGGTTTGCACCTTCTACCACATATTCCTTTTCAAAAGGGCTCTACATCAGTCTCCACACCATGGAGTGGAAGAGAAGCACAGGACTTTGGAGTACAAAACCAGCTTCTCTCCCAGCACCTGAGGCAGAGCAGAAGGCAGTGGCTGCTGGAGGGCTCTACTAACAAACACAGCCATGGGACAATTAAAATTCCCTGTCATTTAGCCACTAAAATGAGTGGATTTGCATTTTGGAACAACATTTTCCCAAGCTATCTGAAGCCTAACGAAGGCCTTGTTCAATCAGGTAGCATGTCAGACTAAAAGAAACTGTCTCTTAAAGAAAAGCATATATTCCAAAGCACAGTACAACAGGAATAGAGCTTCACATAAAAAAAAAAAGTTAATCCATGTATACAAAATGCAATGGATGCCCTAATTAAATATGCAGAATCGAGGAGTCTGAATTTTAAGCAGAGAAAAAGACAAAAGGATTTGTGTATTTCCACAAGCAACTCCCAACTAAGTCACAAAAGGTGACTTTGTTGTGCCAGAGACAACAAAAGGTCAAGACCAAATTCTTTTTAGTTAAGGAAATGGGAAAAAAATTCTGTCCCTATATTCATGCAGTATAGAACTGAATTAATTTACCTACTCAAGCCTGCCAATTTTATGTTTTGACTATATGAGGAATGATTTCAAGTCTATCAGCTAGCAGTTTAATTTAAAAAAATACTGGCATTTATCATTTTGTGCAAAGCCAGAGCTTTATGAATGAAGAACAGAAACAGAACAATTGTAGAACAGGAGACAGTAACTGTCTGCTCAAAGGCTCCCACTGATCCTGACAGAAGCATAAGGACAACACAAGATGCTTGTACAGCAAGTTCTTCCTGCTATACTTTCCACACCATTTGTTATCCAAATTGTGTGTAGTACCTCTCTAGAGACAGACATCTGCATACCAAAAACCCTTCTGAACAAGCACAACTATGATATAGAAGTTCTCAGTGAAATCTGGAGTCAAATCTTGGAAGCCCCCAGAACTCCAATCAGATCTGAAAGCTGTTCTGCAGCCAGCCAGGGAGAGAGCCCTGCCCAAGTGCTGCTCACTCCCCCAGAGCCCACAGGAATGATCCAGGGGCCTTTCAGCTTTTCTGAAACGCACATGCACACATGGCCACACACTAATGACCTTCAGAATGTACAGCCAAAGCCTTCAGCCACTTAAACATTACAGCCATGTGTGGTCACTGGGGTGTTTGTAAAAGCTAAAAAGTAAATGTTATTAGGAATAACAACTTACCAGTGCTTCAACCAAGAGCAGCTATTTTGCTTACAGTGAGTAAATCAATTCCTCAACATATCTGTAGGGAAAATAGGATATTAAAACAATTTAATTAAAATAAATTTAAAAATAAAAGAGATCTAGACCTTAAGGTCTACAAGATTAAGCATTAGCTTTTATTACAAAAGCCCTCATTAAAAAAAAAAAAAAGAAGTATCACTAAGGAACCTGTTATTAAACAACCTGCAAACAACCTAAGAAATTCAGAACCTAGTCCACAAATTCATTGAGAAAAAAAAAAACAACAAAAAATATATTATTTCAAATTTTTAAAAAAGATCAATCAAGCATCAAGTGGAAGCATGCTTAAGCAAACCAACTTGCCCTTCACAATAGAAAATAAAATGCTCTTTTTATTGGGGAGAGGTATCTGCTGGATGCGGGGCAATTATGTAACACATTTATGTGGAACAAATTATCTACTCTATCTCTAAGTTCCTCATGTATGGGCAAGGTCCAAATGTTGAAATCTGACTCTGAAAATGCCTATTGGCAATCTGTCAAGAAATTCCTAATCACAGTTACCTTAAGCAAAGGTAGCAAGAATAAAGACCTAAAACTCTAAAACAACTCATGAATCCCCTTTTCAGGATAAATTTCAACTACAAGAAATAAGACATTCCAGTTTATCCTCCTGACACATACTAGCAAACCAATACTCTTGTAATCTCTCAGAATCTACTTATATTGAAGTATAGCCTCAAATACATAAAAATTAATGAACCTGTCCAATAACAGCATACTGTGCAATCCTCTAAATTCTTCTCTTCCATCTGACAGCTAATCAAAGGTGTAAAAAGGAATATAGGATGAACAGGATTGTAATTTCTTTGTTGATGTAATTTATGCAAACTATTATTATGGAAAAAGCCTTTAGAAAGGGAAATTACAAAATAAAATACAGCACTAGACTGGCATAAGCATGTAGAATATCCCAATGCATGTGAAATTTAGAGGTTTAAAAATGTATTAATAATAGTTCAAAATGTATTTGAATGTGCACAAACAGCTGCTACTAAATGGAAGCACAGAACTTCTGTGAAGTGCCGTCCACCATTTTAGAAGAAACACAACATGGCTGCTGGACCCTGATCATCCATGAGGCATCCACCAGTCATCCAAAGCATAAAAACAAGAGTTACTTGGGCCCTTTGAATCATTTCACTCAAAAAAGGCCACTTAGAAACTACAATCTACATGAAGACAGGTAAAGTTGATGACTGGAAGCTTCTCAGTTTACAGCCCTCAGCCATTTTTAATAATTCACGGCACAGCTACACATCCCATCATTGCATTCGAGCTGGTTGTTTTCTTTCGTTCTAGAGTAAGCACAGAGCTATGGTAGTTTGACAGAAACTTTAATGAGGGCAATATTTAATATGGCTGTCACCACAAAGCACCTCCCTCTAATGACAGTGTTATAAAGACTCCACTGGAGTTTGCTCTTCTGACCTCAGCACACTTGTGCAAAAGGAATCATTGGAGTGTCAGAGTGGTATCACGTAGCAGCAGTAGTGACACTTCTCTTCTTGGAAGTGAGTGGATAAACCAATGAGTTTTGTCAAAACAGCAGGAGAATGTTGATAATACATTACATTTCATTCACATGAATTATCTTTTCACTATTATAGAATATACCACTGTATTTTGAGTTTTTAATTTTTACATCCAAAACACATTCACTCTTAAACTACAGAATAAATCACCAAAGCTACAGGTTTATGCCACGAGCCAGAAACCAGAACTTGGAAATACAAGTCTTGGCTGAAAGAAATTCATGTTAACAGCTGTATTTCCTGTATCTAACGTCAAAATCTTTTAATCAGACTACTTGCTATAATTGTTGTAGCCGGGGTGATTAAAAAAAAAAAATCCATCCTTTATTTAAACATAAACATGAATTTACTTTTTCTAGGTTATCTAGTAGCTGTGGCTTATTTTTGTTTTGAAATTAGAGATACTTGAAGTACAGTACAGCCTACCACACAACACATGCCCGGCACCATAGGTCCATGGCTCCTTCCCCCAAAGACTGGCACTAACCATGACACAATGCACCTCCTTTTTCAGCAAAACGTGAGGTCAGACACCCAAAAGCTATGAGCTGGTATCACATTTTCTCTTGTATTTATTATTTAATTAACAAAGTATTTTGGCAAAAATGATGCATATCAGCACACCAATGTTCTTCCACGTACGCTGTCATTGCTACCAGAGTCTCTTCTATGAGAATACTTAACACAGGTTCATATCCCCAGAGAACAGCTTCTTCTACTGAGAGGGTTTGGACTCAACCTGAGAGGTTATCCTGACCCGCCTCGATCCTCATGAGCACGCTGTAGCATAGCCATGAACTTGGAACTTCCCTAAATCCCAGTAGTGTGCATCTAACCCACTGAGATCTACTTATCCTAAAGGTGAAGCCACTGTTAGCTGAAAACAAGCTGTTCTTACAAGAAAAGGCAGCTCTGAAGAGCTCACAAAAGGGACAGTTAAAAGCTGCTTTTCCTGTAGTGTCTATTCAGCATTATCAGTATCAGGACAATACTGGAAAGATGCAAGGCCGTTAAGATCAAAGTACTCAATTTCATAGCTATCATAAAATGCTCAGGTCACGCAAGTTCTCTCTTGAGCACTGTGATTTTCTAATTTTTACTTTTCTACATTTTTGTTTTAAGAGCAGGTCAGTAATAAATTGCAGGTTCAGACATTTCAGAATTTAATACCAGGAATCTAAGTCAAGTCTGACAGGTTCAATCTCATCAGTGTAATTAGACTTTCGTGTGAACCAGGCTGGTCTTGCCTTTATCGTAATAGACTGTGCACTATCTGTGATTTTTGACCCTCTAAACTGAAAATTTATGTCCTATTTTAGATATATCCTGTAATTCTTAAGGTGTGAGATCATTTCTAACACAAACTTCGAGTTCTCACACTTCCCATCAGACAGCCACACGATGAAGTTGCAGGAACATTCTGACATATCACCTTGCTGTTAGCTGTGTTTACTGCAGGACATCCATGATGGTGGCACATGTCCAGTAGCTATAAATATAATTTGAACCCTACCTTGCACATCAGCAGTGACTCACTGCAGATAAAGGTTTACTACAACCTGAAGAGACATTTTTGTAAAGCGCACGGGAAAGTGTGTACAACCTCTTCTCTAGTAACAGACTGAAGGCTTCATCCAAGCCAAAAAAAAAAAAACCAAACAAAAATCGAGCTGCACTCCGGTGAGGGATCACAATTGTATTTTTTTGTTATCATGATGAATTATGTAACTTGAAAAAGCAAATCATTAAAAGTATTTTTGGGAATCCTGACACACGTGTCCTCGTGAAGACGCCTTACACTTTGAGGTCCTGAGTACGCACAGAAGCACACGAGCATGGGAAGCTGTGAAAAGGAACCAGTTAAGACAGGCAAACAGGATCTCCCACTGTTAATTACAGAGTGTTGAAAGCCTGACTCAAAGGTTACTCTGATCCTAAATGCAGAATCTGAAGTGTAAAAACAAAAAAAAAACATTAAAAAGCTGCTTTGTTTACACTTCAAGAAGAGCAAGATACCTCATAACAACTGGGCACCAGTTTAGGCTTTTAGAATAAAATTTACACCAAAACCAGAATTTTAAAGTTTATTGTATAAGCAATTTCTTGAAAAGGAAAATCTTACGAGCATCCTTTGCTAATAAACCAATACCTTGAACTAAGGAAAAGCATTCTTGAAGTTTGATTAGACAATATCCTTAGGAGATGACAATCCTTTGGCTTCACCACATGTCAACATGGTCATAGATTTTGTTAAAAAGTTGTACTTGTGAGTAACCATAAAATCTTCAAAGATGCAGGAGACATTAACATTGCTGTAGTACATACATACTAACAATTTCCAAATGCACTAGGCTCAAAAGAAATTCAACAAGGTAAAACACTGAAACTTCAATGTTTAATGTTTATTTTGAAAAAATTGTTTCCAGGATGATTAAACAAACAAACAAACAAAATCCAACAACACAGTGTAACATACCTGGCACGCACAGTACAGGATTTTGCTCAAGGTCTTTTGCCCAACCAGTCATCTGAATCTTTGGAAGAACAATATCCAGTAATAGCCCTTAAAGATAAAAAAACAACAAAACCAGGTTTGTCTAAAACAAGGTACAGATAAGATCTTTAAATCCTGACATTCTTGACTGACAAACTTTCTGAAAACACGTAAAGGAAATGCCTTTGAATATACAAAAGTTTTACCAACAGCACAAAACCAATAGTCTATCATTGTTAAGCATTAGTCCCCAAAACCAAGAAACGCGACCAAAAAATCTCCTTCTCTAGGAATTCCTTAAGTCTTGGGTTACACCCTTACATACAAATTCTACAATTTCCCCAAACATTAATACTACAAACTCATTAAGTAAAAAAACCTAAATAATTTTCAAAGTTTAATGCAGGCTTTCACTGGTGAAACAGGACATACAGAACTTCAGTTTATACGCAAATACTGTCCTTTTCCACCAAATACAGTATTTATATATGTACCCATCTATTATAAAAATAAACAACCAACTTATTTAATAGCCTTAGTAAACTGAAACTTATACCCAAGCAGCACATAAACGTGACATTATATAAAGCCAGTTTACCTGTAACTGCAAAAAAAGCTTTTAAGAAGTCCAGACAATTTACAAAATGTGTCCCCCTCCATATAAAAATGAGATTTTTTTTTTCTTCACATCTGCATAGTAGCAAAAAGGCAAATTCCAGTTTCAAAAAAATAACAATTAACATATTAACACAAGGTATAACCATTCTTACCTAAGAAAAATAAGGTAGGAATGAATCCTCTGGAAGGTAGTCAGGAAATAAGGTTCTGTTCATGAAATCCTACCTGAAAAAAAAAAAAAGTATGGAAATTTTCAGTATTTTGCTTTAGAAAATCAGCGCTAG